GGACAACGCTTTGCCTAGCACTTTAGCTTTTCCTTTGATATGACTTAGGTACGAATATCACTAAGTCTTAGTCTTATATTCTTATGAGTAATGATGTTTTGGATTCCTTAATGATCCCAATATCTACTGATCTCACTATAAACACCTCACTAAATCTAGCCTAGACATCACTCTCATAAGTAGATCAATTAGTCTTTTGACTTGAAATCACCCAATAATCGTATTTATAGATTCATAACAGCAACTATGAACATAAATATAAGTTACACTTAAAGCATTGTAAGTTCAGCTTAACTTACAAAAATTTTAGCTAAAAAGCTAGATAGTCTTAGGTAGAATCTCGACCTGATAGCTCCTTTTCATCGGGCTCCTAGCTACCCTAGAGCCTAGCTAAATTGTTCAGAAGTCTGGAAAATCTGTACCTTAAAAATCAGAGAGTCTTCAGAGAGAGATATGATCATTTGGGATGAGAAATATAGAATATTTGAGGGGTATTTATAGTTGAACAAGCGTGTGCCGTTTAAGCGACGTTGCTCCAACCCAGTGGCGGATCCCTTTGGGGGCTGGGAGGGGCCATGGCCCCCCCGGTTTTTTGCCTGCTTTTTATCAAATGTTTAGCCAAAATATGTAAGTTTTGGTTTATTGCAAAAATAAAGGCAGCTGATGATGAAAATTAAAAGGAATGCAGACATTATATAAAGATATTTAGAACATATTTAAAGTCTTCTAAATCAAAACAAACCCCGTAGAAATTTGGAATGGAAATCAAATCCCAACAAATCTTAATCACTTTGATATTTTGAAACTCTATTGTATCATCAACATAAAATATTTAGATTCTTTTGAGAAACAAATCTCAAAAAAGATCAAAAACAAAGAAAATAAGTTAGGTTCACTGCCGGAAATCGTTGTTTCCGACCTCTTAGAAGAAATGTCGGTCGATCGTCGCTGCCGGAAATGGCTGTTATCCGTCGTCTTAGAAGTGATGTCGGCCTTTGTTGAACATTATCTCCACCATCTCCAAGTATCTGTCGCGTTTACTTTCACACAACCTTCGTTCTTAGCCTTTATTTATATTGTCTCCCATCTTAAATTGATCCTTTTTCTTATTGTGATTGTTATCTAAGAAAGTCTGATTTTTTAATATATTTTACCTACAACCTTAGCCACTACATAATATCACTGATGAAGGTAACTAATAGAGGTAAATGTTGTCAAAATTTTGAAAGAGAGATGATGCTCCGCTTTCAAAAAAAGTTTATTTTGATATTTTATGTATTTTTTAGAGAGAATCTGTTTAATAACTCTTTTTTTTATGATTCCATTATTTTATAAACATAAATTAATTGTATTTCTTGGTCACAGTAACGAAATTCATATTTATATCTTTCACTTTTCTGATATCTAATTATATTATATTATTTGCAACATTTCTTTATAAAAAGCCTTTTGAAAGTTCTAATTAGTCTTTCGATAATCACTTAACACATTTTTATTTGGTTCCGTTTTAAAGTTTTATTTCGGCCCCTCCAATTTTAATGTTTGTGTTCCACCCCTGTCTCCACTGTCAACACCAAATTTGTCCATGTCACCATGTCGACAACCTGTTGTGTGTCGCGCCTCTCATACATGGGCGGGCAAATTTATGATTTTTCAAAAAATCATATTTTCTTCATGCGAGCTCCGTGTTCGATGTTCTTTATACACACGCGTAGCTATGGACAAGTAATAAAACTTTCATTTATACTCCATCGGCTAACTCTAAATTTATTTTTAAATTTACACTTTTAACAAGATTAGACCGTGAAAGTACGTATAAAAATCATAACCCTTCCATACGACATACGTTCTCGACTGTCTTTATATCGACAGATTCCTATTCACGAGATCTTCGCTTCTTATTTAGATTGTTTTGCCTAACAATCAATCGATTTTAAATTCGGTTTCTGTGTCGCACATTGGTATACTGAAACTTCAAAATTTTATAACTTCCTCATATGAAGTCAGATTTTGAAGTTTGTTTATATGAACACTCTTAGTTTAACGACTACTATGATTTTCATTTAGATTACTTAGACAAATAAGCAACCAAAATCCGATTCACTGTTCATGTTCATGACGCGCAAAGTTGTGTCAGTTTGATTGCGGAACTTCGAAGAATCATAAATTTTTCGTACGAAGTCAGATTTAAGTGCTCCTATAACGCCTGATATGCCAGGTAAAATCTTTAGCTATTTATTTTTTTCTCTTTTTTTAGCTTGAGGACCTCGTAAGTTGGGCGTACATAAGGTACGCCAGGCGTACTTCGAAGCATGCATGACAAGGTATTAGCCCCCTGGTACGTTGGGCATATGTCAGCCAAGGGCAAACCCTAATTTTTAAGGTTTGCACCTTATACCCTCCATAACTCACTCCTTATCAGCCTCTATTGCCTTTTTTAAGCTATATCTCGAAACCCTAACCCATTTCTCAAGAGATTGACCATTGTATGTGTTTTGGTGTATATTGAAGAAGAAAAAGACTTGTGTAGAAGCAGTGGACGAGTGGGAGCTTGTATATCCAGGGATTATTCACTTTTTCCGGCTTATTGGAGGTATAAAATCTTAACCTTGCTCATCCTATGTTTAGATCTAGATTTGGGGAAGATACAACTTGCCCTAAAATAAATGTGTTGACCATAAATGATCTTTAATTTGGGTGGAAGAAAGTGCTTGGATTGAGATGTGACCTCGATCAGATGAAGATCAGCAGGGATGGTCTAGAAGAACAAAAGCAAATTCCCCAATTTGTACAAGGGACACTCCAACGTACATTAGTAAAAGGATGTGTACTCTCTTGATTATTGGTAAATGGTTCCCTATAATTTTAATCGTATTTAAATACACTTTATAACTAGGTTATAATGTGGAGTATTTGAAATTTCCAGGAATGTTAATATATATATATATACTAGTTGTGAGACCCATGTATTACATGGGTTGATTTTAAAAAAAAAAGTTAAATTTAAAGGTCAAAATATTTGAAAACTTTGAATTTATAAGAAAATAAGAAAAATAATAAATTATTATAATGGAAATCTTTTTTTATCTTTTAAATTTAAACAACTAATTTAAATAAAGAAAAGAAACCAATGAGCTTTTAATTTTAGGAATTTTAAAAATAAAAAGTAAGTTTTTTAATGAAATTATTACAACATTTATTGTACTTGTTATATTAAAATATTAAGTGAAATTTAATAAAATAGAAAAAAAAAACTCATAAAATGACATGTGGAAAAAAATAATTCAAAATAACCACAAAATGACATTTGGCAAATTGAATGAGAGTGTGACAAGTGGCAAAAAAATATTTATTTATTAGAAACTAGGCAAATGCCCGCGCGTTGCGCAGAAAGACCTATATAGTTAAAATCTTTACAAATATATGCTTTTTAAATATAACAATAACATTGTTGTTAAATTTGATATAATAATTTGTATACTAAATTGATATAATATATTGATTATTTTTAATTATATGATAATATATACATCTATTATAATTACATAATCTCAATCGTTTGAATGACTTCTACATGCGAGTTACTCATGAATAAAATTAAATATAATATATGGTTTAATGTTATTTATAGTTGTTGTTATTGTTAATTAATTTTTTAAAATTTATTTGTTTAACGTTTTAATTTCTATCATTATAATTATTTAAAACATCAAACATTGTTTTTTGATTTTAAAGGTAACAATATAATCATTTATATAGAGTTATTTTTAAATATTGTTATTATAAGTTATTTTAAGCTACTTATTTGAAAACTTTTAACGATTAGAAAAATATCTTTAGGAAATATTATAGTTAAATTGAGATTACAATGTAGATTTTTCATTTTGCACTACAATTTATCACTTTAACCATTCACAAAATATTCATTGAGTTTTTTAAGTGGAACTGAAATTTATATTTAAGTTGACACTGTAATGTTATATTTAAATTAACAATTTAAGTATTTTGTCCAAAGTGTTCAAAAGTTGTAGCTTTAAACTGATAATGGTTTACATACAATAACATATTAAATTTAATAAATTAAGTATAATATGTTAAAAGTTAAAGTCATAACTTTTGTAAGTAGAAGTAAATATATTATTTTAATATTGAAATTTAGTTTATTTATGGTTACACTTTAGGTTTGATATTTATTTAACCTTATTAACCAAATTATAATCATTATTAGAAAGACATTACAATTTATCACTTTTAATTATTTACAAAATATTTTTTTAGGCTGTTTAAGTTAAACTAAAATTTATATTTAAGTTGACCAATTAATATGATATTTAAATTAATAATTTAAGTATTTTATACAAATTGTTCAAAATTTATAGCTTTAAAATGATAATGGTTTATATCCAACAATATATTAAAATTAATAAATTAAGTATAATATGTTAAAAGTTAAAAAAACATAACTTTATATGTACAAGTAAAGATATTTTTTAGTATTGAAATTTAGTTTATGTATAATTACACTTTAGGTTTGATATTTATTTAACCTTATTAACCAACTTTAATCATTATTAGAAAGAAATTGAAAAATCATGGGAATTTCAAATGAATGTGGTGAAAGGAAAAATGCATAGGAGTTTCAAATGAATGTGGTGAAAGGAAAAATATTTCATTTATAGTATAGTATGATATGATGATATATACACGAATTCATATAAAGTGAATAATCAAATTAATCTTGTGCAAAAAAATATTGGGTTCAAATTACTTTACTACTTTTCCAGTATATTAATGGTAAATAATTTTCATTACTGTCGATTGCTAATTAACTTTTTCTAATTAATATTCTTTGCTTAACATCTTTGTTAGAAATGGTATAACTTCCGGAGGATGCAATCTTAAATTAGTGGCTTTGTGGGCACCACAAATTAACTAATGATCAACTCCAATTTTCTATTTAAGACATGTAAGAGGATGCAACGAGAATCGAATAAAAGAATAAAAACATATAAACATGGAAAGCTCGAGCTCTAATCCACATGAACCACATGTCACACTGGAAGTCGGAGAAGAAGAATACCCATATCCATCACATGTTTGTGCATCAAACCTTACTAGTGTGAAGCTGAGTGGTAAGGCCAAGTTTGTTATGTGGAAAACACAAATGCTATGTCTCTTAGAGAGTCATGGTATGTCTGGTTTCATCGATGGAACACTTGTAAGCCCTCAAACAAGTGTTTCCGGGAAAGAGAAAGTGGGTGACCATCAAAATCGTCACAGGAGGTGGAGAAGATCAGATGCCCTTGTGAAGAGTTGGATTCTTAGTTCTCTCTCTGAAGAAACACTGGGGTATGTTCTGAAACATCTCTCAGAGAAACTCCATCATCAAGAGAGAAATGCATCTGATTTTAGTGCAAAAGATGTATGGGATGAACTGCAGACTATCTATGGTCCTGCTGTTCTTCCGCAATTGCTAGTTTCAGGTACAACCTTTAATTTATTTCGACATTCCAAGTCTCATATACATGATAAAAAAAGGTTTTACAAAGAGTTTTTACTATGATACCCGTTGGCTGTTGTTTCCACTTCATTTAAATCCATTGTTCCTCCTTTGAAATTAATCCCAATTTATTAGACTAGATGGAGAACATCTATATTTTCTCTATATATCTTATCGCTTTTTTACCTTCATAACAACATTACGCAAATTAATTAGATAAACCACAAGACATAAGAGAAGCATGGCCAGACCAATATTTAATATTAAAAGAACAAGAAGACAAGTCTGCACTCCAAAAATTGTACCGGGCTGCTATATCAGGAGATTGGGATTCCGTCCATGCTGTTTTGAAGAGACAAAACATTACTGTGATAGACAAAATCACGAATAATGGCAACACAGCACTCCATATAGCAGTAGGTGCAACTAAAAAGGCAGACCTATTACAGAAACTGCTGGAAAAGACACCGGAGAACACACAACTGTTGGATCTAAGAAATTCAGATGGAAGCACACTACTTCATGTTGCTGCTATTGTTGGCAACACCGAAGCTGCTGACATCTTGGTGGGAAGAAACCGAGATTTGTTATTAGCCAAGGACAACGAGGGTCACACACCACTAGCTGTAGCTCTATCTAATATGCATACTCAGACGTCTAAGCATATGTTACAATACATTAATACTGACATAGAGAAGGATGCTCTGTTTTCTGGCACAAGTGGTGAAGAGCTTCTAGTTGTTGTTATATCTTCTAAAAGATTTTGGTAAGTGTAATTTCACTGGATTCATCATTCAAATTCCAATAGTATAAAAACTAACCACTTGGGATAACTTTAGAATATTTATGTATGTAGGTTTGGCAAATGATTTGGTGTTTCACTACAATCGTGGGTCATTGGATAGTGACGCTGTGCCAATGGCTATAGCTCAAAATTTCCCATGCACTAGTATCTTGGAAGAATATACAAGTTTGTTGATTTTTTTATCTTGATTTTGCATGTTTTTTACCTTCTCATGATTTATTAATTTGTTATAAGGCCTCTCTAACGAACTTGTACACTGATTTTTCTATGTTGAAGGGAATATTGATATAATGCATGGCAGAGTAGAAGCAGTTTTCCGAAAGGCTTTTTATTCTGTGCATAACAGATGTGGTTTCTTGGTTGGCATAGTATGGTGGTTATTCTTATTCGGTACGTCATTTGATATTGTGTTCGACAGATCTTTATGTTGTAGTTGCTATTTGTTTAATTTGGCATACACAAAACAAACCAGCAATAAGAATTAAGTGTTATCTCAACTTTTAACATATTGGTTGCACAATACATAACTTTATGATTCTAACAAACTTTTTATAATGTAATGCAGGTTTTTATGGGATTATTATGCTTTTCCCACTAATCCTTAAGTTCTTAGGTAAGACGAATCAAATATTAACATCATTGAATAACCAAAAATAGAATTGAGAGAAAATGTCTATTTCTTTTTTAAAGATTGCTCATTTGAATCTATGATGTAGGGTCGCCATTCATTAAAGAGCGAGTTCGAATTCGTAAGGAAGCTATCAATTTATTAGCTAAAGTATGTGACTCGATAAAGTTCCGCAAAGACTCCAGCAATTACCATCACTATTATACGAATCCGATTCTTGAAGCCACGAGACAAAATGCATACGAATTTGTAGAATTTATTGTGTCCAACTTTCCAGATGCAATTTGGTGTGCCAACGAAGATGGTCACAATATTATTCAGTATGCTGTGATAAGTCGTTCAGAGAAGGTTTATAACCTACTATATCAGATGAGCGAACATAAGAATGTTTATAGAACAATTAAAGACCCCTATGGAAATAACTTCTTACATTTGGCTGCAAGATTGGCACCTAACGACAAATTGAATCGTATATCAGGGGCAGCTTTACAAATACAACGTGAACTGCAATGGTTTAAGGTAGGAACCTTTGATTAATCAAATTTTTAATACCTAATGTTTAGAGACCATGTATTATTTATAAAGCATGGTTAACACATTCTAATATTGTAGGAAGTTGAAGGATTTGTATGTCCTCTAAACATCATACAAAAGAACTCTTTCGACGAAACACCTCAAATGGTATTCACAAGAGAACACAAGGACCTTGTGATTGAGGGAGAAAAATGGATGAAGTCCACTGCAGAATCATACACGATTACAGCTGCATTAATCACCACCATTGTGTTTGCAGCAGCTATTACAGTACCTGGAGGAAACAAGGACACTGGGATACCGACTTTTACTAACAACATTGCATTCAAAATATTTGCAATATCAGATGCGATATCGTTATTCACATCAGCTACTTCATTGTTAATGTTTTTGTCAATTCTCACTGCACGTTTTGCGGAACAAGACTTTCTCTTCATGTTGCCTACAAAGTTGATCATTGGTTTGGCTACCTTGTTCATTTCAACGACAGCCATGATATCAGCTTTTGGTGCAACATTGTACCTTGTATTTGGTCAAAGCAACCCAATGATTCTTATTCCAATAGCTGTTTTGACATGTCTACCAATTACTTCTTTTGTAACCCTCCAGTTCCCTCTCGTTGTAGACTTGATGAGTGCCACGTATGGTCGTAGTATTTTTCGTAAGCAAAATGATAGTATATTCTATTAAATCTTTATGCATGATTATAGTGAACTAAATAGATGTGAAAAGTGGCAGAAATACTCATTTCATTTTGAGTTGTATATGTGATGATCTAAATAGAGGTGATAAGTATTCGGAACTAGATATGGTCTCTACCTTCTAATGATGATTATTTGAGATATTAGAATAAAGAAATAAAGAATCGGTGATAAGTAAAGATCTAAATACTTTAGAAAGACAATGCTTTTATTAAACAAAAATGCCTAGAAAATTGCTCGACAAAATGACCAAAAAGGCTACAACAAAAACAAACTTGTAAATTTTGAATGTCATCTAAAACGTTAGGGGGAGATTCAAGTTAACAGAATTGTATATACCGGAAGAACACAAACAGAATTGCCTCAACACGCATAAATTTTGTTGAAGTAAAAGTAACTCAAAACTCGAATCTGAATATTCAGGATCCTAAACATATCAGAATATAACTAGGAAACCTAAAGGTAATCAAATAAAACTTTCCTTATAAAGCATTCCTTATTGCTTAAGGAAAACTCAGAAACCTTGGACAACATTCCAAGACTTGGACAACACTACAAGCACTCTTTGATCTAGACCAGAACACACCAACTAGCCACATCTATCTTAGATAATTCACCAACAATCACCCTCTTTCTGAGAGGAAGGTAATTCTTGCACGCCAAGCAACGATCTCATTTTTGTGAACCTTATCTAAGCCACGGCCTTCGTAAGCTAATTTGCACGTTGCTTGTCCCCGGAAACATGTTCAACTATCACTTGTTCGTTTTCAACACGTTCTCGAATAATGTGAAAACGAGTGTGAATATGTTTGCTTCTACCATGGAAGACTAGATTCTTTGACAGGCAAATTGTTGATTTGTTGTCTATTAGAATCAGCAACTTCTGTTTCTTCATTCCTGTCAACTCTGCCAATAACTCCCTTAACCAAACTACTTGACATGCAGCTGCAATAGCTGCCATGAACTCAGCTTCACATGAGGAAAATGCTATTGTATCTTGCTTTTGAGAACACAAAGTGATAGGTGAATCACCAATGTAAAAAACATGTCCGATTGTTCTCCTACCGTCATCTACATCAACATTATGACTGATATCACTGTAACCTAGCAAGCTCAAATCTTTACTCCATTTATATATTATTCCAAAAGATGTTGTTCACATAAATAACGAAGAACTTTCTTAATAGCACGTGCATGAGATTCTCGTGGACTTTGCATGTAACGGCTAACTACTCCAACTAAAAATGCTAAATCTGGAGGTGTATGCAAGAGGTGTCTTAAGCAATCCACTAGTTTTTGATAATGGACAGCTTAAACTTCAGGTTGATCTTTAGCTTAAGATAATTTTAGTCCCCGGCTCCATTGGACATTGAGTTGCCTTACATTCCTACATGCATGCTTCCTTTAGAATTTTCATGGCATAACTTTCTTGTTTCACCTTTACACAACCGTTTTCTTGCAATACTTCAATACCCAAGTAGCAAGTTAGTTCACCAAGGTCTAACATTTCAAATTGTAATGCCTTTAGTTTCTTGAATTGGTTTATAAACTCTAGACTTGTTCCCGTTACAAATAAATCATCTACATAAACCACAACAATGATGAATTCTCCATTTGAAACCTTATTATAAATAGCAAATTCTTACATGCACCATTCAAAACCCATATTTTTCAAAGTATTATTAAATTTCAAATTCCATGCTCTTGGGGATTGTCGAAGACCATATAGTGCTTTTGCCAATTTGTATACTTTTCTTTCTTCGCCTTGCTTTATAAAACCTTCAGGTTGACAAACTTACACTTCTTCCTTCAAATCAGCATACAAAAATGTTGTTTCTACATCCAAGTGATGAATCTTCATCCATACCTAGTTGCGAGAGCAATTAATAGTCTTATTGTCTCGAGACGAGCTACAAGCACGAATACTTCATTAAAATCAATACCTTGCTCTTGTACATAGCCTTTAGCAACTAGACGCGCTTTGTACCTTATAATTGATCCATTTGTATTTCTTTTAATTTTGTATAACCATCTTAAACCGATAGACTTGGCATATTTAGGAGGGGAAACAAGCTTCCATGTATTATTTTTTCTCAATCGAGTCAATCTCAGACTTCATTGCATTGATCCAATCCTTGTTCACTTTGGCTTCTTTAAAATTCTTTGGCACCTCGTCGAAAGTTAACATTAAATAATCTAAATTTAACTCTTACTCATTTAATCTTCTTGGAAAAATAGAAGCTCAAGTGGAACGACGAAGCGGAATATCCCCTTCATTGATGTTGGGTTCATCCGGTTGCACTGGCTATTGTTCTCGTATGTTGGGACCTGTTCTGTGGACAGTTCAGTTTCAATTGGAATTGATCCATCAAACCTAGTTTGGGCAGGATCAGGTGTGTATGTATAATACCACAAAACCGAGAATGTATGGGGTTTCTTCTGAGCTTCGTTTTTTGACACATCATCCCACTTCCATGCATTTTTCTCATCACAAATTGCATAAGTGCTCACAATGATTTTATTTTCCCACGGGTTATATAACCGGAATCCTCCTGAGTTGGGTTCTCTTCCATAATACACTAATGGACAAGACCTATCATCCTGGGGCCACTCCCTGGGTCTTACAGACAGGTGCCAAGGGTCACCCCCTGGTCTTCTATGTAAGCATCACAAAGACAACTATACAGACTACTCTATTAGGCTACTCCGCATATAGTGTGCCAGGAGCCACCCCCTGGTCTTTCATACCATAGCATACTGTGCGCCAGGAGCCACCTCCTGGTCTTTCATACATATTGCCTAGGGCTAACCCCCGGGTCTTCCTATCATACATAATAACATATTGTGTGCTAGGAGCCGCCTCCTGGTCTTTCATGCATATTGCCTAGGGCTAACCCCCGGGTCTTCCTATCATACATAATAACATACTGTGTGCCAGAAGCCGCCTCCTGGTCTCTCATGCATATTGCTAGGGCTAACCCCCGGGTCTTCCTATCATACATAAACTAAATGGGCCGGCATTGTGGCCGTAGACCCATACAAACAGTGAGGAGACTCACCTCGTACTGTTGAACTTTGCTGATAAACCTCTGGCTGTTGTCCGACAACTCTCTGAACCGCTGCCCCACTAGCTCCTCAAGCTACTAATATCAATATAACACTTAGTTTCAAATTGAACTCTAGAAGTCAAACTAAGTTAAC